CACCTGCAACCCGTTAGCTAATCATCTGTTCCTTCATCAACCTCCACAGTGTATATAAAACTCATTCTCAGTTCCTCCTTGCTGGTTCCTCCTGTTATACCCTGTTATTTACCCCATTTCTTTCTTGTGTTTCCTGTTGGCATTTTTATTGGATTGATAGGTTTTGTTTTGCTCTGGCTCCCTGCGGTTTTTGTGTTTCATTTTTTTTTATTAAAATAGTCTTCAGCTACAAGCTTTATCTGCCTTTGTCTTTATGTCCATCATCAAACACACTTAATCAATCTGTTGTAATTCTTACTCACTCTGGCTAATCAGGTTTTGTTTTAAGATGGAAATATTTTATTTCTTATTTTGAGGCTTGTGCATATTTTTGTCACTCCAAATCAAATTTCAAAGATCTGTGTTGAATTTAATTCTAATAAAAGTTCAATTTGTTTGTCTGAATAAAGACTGAGATGACTTCCCTCTCAGTTAAAACATATTCATTAATGCTGTGCTACAGTAGACAACAAAAACCTGATTAATCAGGGGCTCACTGGATGTTTTTAACAATTTGCTACAATCTCAAAATCTCACTTAACTTCACCAAAAAAAAAAACAATCTGTTAGTTGAATCCAATTAACTAAACCAAGTCACTTTAAGATACCGTTTTTTTCCTTCCTCTATTTTAGAAATCTGAAATTTCCATAATCAACTTGATATTTTCTAAAGACTCCTCTACTGAATATCTAAGGTCCATAAACTGTTTCCAGATTTATCAGGATATTGAGGCACAAGAAGTTCATAGCTTTGCCTGAAATTGGCCAAGTTTATAATTAGCTTTTTTCAGCACTGTCTAAAGTTATAAAGCTCATTTGTAAACCAGATTCTGATTTAGCTGCGTTGTGGTAGTCGGGTAAATAATCTGCTCTAAAAAAGGCACAGAGGTATTTGTTTCTTCTGTGACCTAATTCTCTCAAACAACTAATAATTTTGAAATGATTGGAAGAGTCTAGGTTTATTTCTTAGAACTTCAGTCAAATGCATAAAACATTTGAAAAGATTAGACAATATTTTATAATTCATTAAGCGTTGTTGCCTCAGACTGAACATCAATGTCAACTCTGGTGAAAGTTGCATCCAAATCAAACAGGGACCAATCAGTGAGTTCAGCAGGAGGTGAGACTGGAGCAGCAGAGGACAGAACTGTGTTCAGTACAGAAACGACGTCCAGTGAAGCTTCATCATAGTAAATGTACAATTATTACACATTAATGTCACATAAAAAGCTGTGAGTAGTGAAATCAGAGAAAACAATCTGTGCTGTTCACCTTTCTGTCTATCACATGTGGAACATTAG